TAAACATAAAACACTTCCAATGCTCTGTTCCAAATTATTACGCACAGTAAGTTTCAAAACACTTTGTAGGTTGTAAAGAACTGAAAATTGTCAATTGTTGTGTTTGCAGCATATTTACTGAAATCAAAAGCTATTTCAATCAAACTTTTAACAACATTTTAACTTTTTAAACATTTTAACAGGTCACGTTACATTGTAACATAGGACCCCTTATTTGATAGCAGCTTCACAAGTCTTGCATCCATTGAACTTGTGAGTTTTTGGACAGTTTCTGCTTGAATTTGTTTGCAAGATGTCAGAATAGCCTCCCAGAGCTGCTGTTTGGATGTAAACTTCCTCCCACCCTCATAGATCTTTTGCTTGAGGATGCTCCAAAGGTTCTCAATAGGATTGAGGTCAGGGGAGGATGGAGGCCATACCATGACTTTTTCTCCTTTTATCCCCATAACAGCCATTGATGCAGAGGTGTTCTTTGCAGCATGAGGTGGTGCATTGTCATGCATGAAGATGATTTTATTACGGAAAGCATAGTTCTTCCTTCTGTACCAGGGAAGAAAGTGGTAAGTCATAAACTCCACATACTTTGCAGAGGTCATCTTTACACTTTCGGGGACCCTAAAGGGGCCGACCAGCTCTGTTCCCATGATTCCAGCCCAAAACATGACTCCACCACCGCCTTGCTGACGTCGCAGCCTTGTTGGAACAGGGTGGCCGTCCACCAACCATCCACTACTCTATCCATCTGGACCATCCAGGGTTGCACGGCACTCATCAGTGAACAGGACTGTTTGAAAATTAGTCTTCATGTATTTTTCTGCCCAATGCAGCCATTTCTGCTTGTGAGCATTGGTTAGTGGTTGCCGAATAGAAGGTTTATGCACAGTTGCAAGACTCTGGAGGACTCTACACCGTGATATCCGTGGGACTCCAGAGGCACCAGCAGCTTCAAATATCTGTTTGCTGCTATGTAATGGTATTTTAGCAGCTGCTCTCTTGATCTGATGCATGGATCTGGCAGAAATCTTCCTCAATGTGCCTTTATCTGCACAAACCCGTCTGTGCTCTGAATCAGCCACAAATCTCTTAATAGTGCGATGATCACACTTAAGTTTTCGAGAAATATCGAATGTTTTCATACCTTGTCCAAGGAATTGAACTATTTCACTCTTTGACAGCAGAGAAATCCTTTTTCTTCCCCATATTGCTTGAAAATGGTGCTCTGCTTAATAATGTGTAACACTGTCCTTTAGTAGTTTTTCCTTAAATTGGGCTCACCTGCCAATCTAATTATCACAAATGTCCGAGATTGTTTGCAGTGATCAAAAGAGCCCTGACACACAATGACATCCATGAGTTAAACTGAAAAACAAAATATTTCATCTTTGTGACACTTAAATAGAATTTGCATAATAATTTGGAACACGGTGCATATACTGCATGTTGAAATGCGTTTTTATTACAAAGTACATGAAAAATATTTTAAAAATACATTTCAAATATACGGTATGTCTTTAAAAATACAAATCTACATTTTTGGAATGCATTTACAAATATATATATATATATATATTGCATGTTGAAATGTTTTGAAATATACTTAATATGGTCAAAACTGTAGCATTTCAAATATATGTCAATATATTTGGGAAGAGTATTGTAGATAAATTAAGGTAAGCCATAGATGAATTGATTTTCTTTCCTTCCACCACAGGTCAATTTCCCTGTCAACACAGTCATTGATGGTTGAAGCCCTCCTGCAGTGCTATTGTGTTCTGCCGGGGGGTGTGGGCACAGAGAACAGGGAGAACACAATGATCAATGCTGGTTGTGCCCAAGTTGTTCAATGGATCAACATGGGCACAATCAGCCTGTCCAAAGATGGATTGAATTTCGGCCAGTCCCTGCTGAACCGACTAGATTTCAATCCATCTATGGCCTGCTTATCACCTCCCTCTACCAGAAAGTTTTCAACTTCTATGTACTGTACTAAGTTACACATGAGCTCTTGGTGGTAAGTGGTGCCTGGAGCTCTGCCCTGCTCTGTTTGATATTCAGGACAGTTTCTCTCAAGCCATAGTCAGCCTGCTACTGTCCTTCCATGTTTTATAAAACAGAGCTTATGTTTTACATGGAAGAAACTATATATTTTATGGCAGACTCTGAAGATAACAATCCCAATGCAACTTCACAACAAGAGTTCTCACGAGGCCTCGACGGCTCCAACATTTCTAAACACTAGCAAAGTATTCTCGTTCCTTGAGCCAATTATTTGAAATGATGTGTTATATTTAAAGCAGAACTCCAGGCAGATATTAAAGACACAAGTGAATGCAGCTCTGTAACCATTAAAGTGATATTAAATCATAATGATAAAAACTGAAACAAAGCAACACTTACAGCTAAGCTGTTAAGTTTTTTGCGGGGCTTCATTGCTAGTGCTGTCTTAATGGAGCCACCGCTGCATGCATGCTTCCCCTCCCAAGGACTACACTGTATCCAGCCACTCTGTGCAACTACACATACAGGCAAATGGAGCTGAATGGGACTTGCAGCCAACCCAACTGTTGTGATGATTAGTTTTGACAGTGCAAGCTCACTGGTGATAGTGCTCACCAGTGCTATTGGAATGCATGTGAACAAAGAATCTTAGGCAATAGACGTACCCCTGAGGACGTGCATGCGCACAAAACGTGTTGGGTGGAACTGCCATCTGCTGACTTTACGCCGCCGCTGCCGATGGTCGGAATAGTGGCCATCTTGGTACACTTTTTATGCTTTTTGATTTCTGTCTCCACGTGGATACTTTTTAATGTTCTAATAAATACTAAACTATATGCAACCTTATTGGCTCCTGTGATGAGCTATTCCCTCTAGGATAAGGGCTGACCTCCCATCCGAGTACCCAGGACAAATTTGGTCTGGTTTAACCCTTCGGCCGCCTTCCATTCTCAGATGTTTAATGCTTGATTGCCTGTTACCTGTTTTCATCTGGTGAGGGTACATCCGAGAGAGGTGGTGGATTCTTTTGTGTGATCATCAGCACATTTGCACTCTGCACATTTAATTATACTGCACCTTATGGTTTCACGGACGGTGGATGTTAGATACCTTCCTTTTGAGGATGCCCCACAGATGCTCAATAGGGTGTAGGTCTGGAGACATGCTTGGCCAGTCCATCACCTTTACCCTCAGCTTCTTTAGCAAGGCAGTGGTCATCTTGGAGGTGTGTTTGGAGTCATTATCATGTTGGAATACTGCCCTGCGGCCCAGTCTCAGAAGGGAGGGGATCATGCTCTGCTTCAGTATGTCACAGTACATGTTGGCATTCATGGTTCTCTCAATAAACTGTAGCTCCCCAGTGCTGGCAGCACTCATGCAGCTCCAGACCATGACACTCCCACCACCATGCTTGACTGTAGGAAAGACACACTTGTCTTCATACTCCTCACCTGGTTGCCTCCACACATGTTTGACACCATCTGAACCAAATAATTTTTTCTTGGTGTCATCAGACCACAGGACATGGTTCCAGTAATCCATGTCCTTAGTCTGCTTGTCTTCAGCAAATTGTTTGCGGACTTTCTTGTGCATCATCTTTAGAAGAGACTTCCTTCTGGGATGACAGCCATGCAGGCCAATTTGATGCAGTGTGCGGCGTATATATATATATATATTTTTTAGCGCTGCACTTTCTTACATGAACAAAGAATCTGCCTTTAGAATATGGGTTTATTTCAAAAACATCCTTTTTCTGGAAATACAGGCAGTATACGTACCTAAATTTGACCTATTCTCAACCTCTTGCAACCCCTTTCTAGCAGAGCACAGCATGGCGAGGGAAAAACACCTAATCAATTGTGCTGCAGTGCTCATGTGCTTAAAGTGGAACTTGAGTCAGAAAATGAAATCCTGCTAGATCACTTCAGGCTGGCCCCATTTACAGGTATAGCTATGTAAAATTTTAAAAATAAGTGCGCTGATTGCCTGGGCGTGCATTCCATTTCATGTGTGCTGTTAGTGGGGGTGGCCCACATCTAACCTCACTTTAGAGAAGGCACATAATGACATCAATGATACAGAGAAGATGGAGAAGAATGTAATATTGCTGAATGGTCGTTTTACTATGTATACCCTTTTGTACATACTTCAATACCAACTTACTCTGGGGTGGGCAGTGATCACATCCTCTACTGCGCAGTGAGGCCATGTGGTACAGCGCAAGTGCAGCCAACTCCTCATAGGCCATCATTGAAAATTAAGCCCTGTAAAGGGTCCAATTTCTGCATTCTGCCATTAACAGCTTCCGCGCCTCCCTGTAGAAGAAATACTGCTAAACGGCGGCACGGGTGTCCAAAATCACGTATATATACCACTTGCAGCCTCGGTTGTCAATCACTGGGTCCCGGTGAGAGCTGTGAAAATGTGGAATAGACTCCCTCAAGAGTGAATTGCTTTAAAAAAAAGTCCTGGATTCTTTCTTAGATACACAGAATATAACTGGATACTAACATTTATAGGCAAAGTTGATCCAGGGAATATCCGATTGCCTCTGGGGGGATCAGGAAGGAGTTTTTTTCCCTGCAGGAGCAAATTGCATCATGCTTTGCTGGGCTTTTTTGCCTTCCTCTGGATCAACTGTAAGTGTAGGATTCAGTGGTGGACTGAGAACTCATGGGGCCCCGGGCAATAGGGGATCCTTTGTCCTCGTCCACACTCAAACGACACCCAAAAAAGCCTATGAAAGGTACTAGGGGCATCTCATGGGGCCCCCTACTGACCCTGGGCACTTGGCCCGCCACTGGTAGGATTATAACTTTTTTTTTCTTTTTTTTTTAATGGTTGAACTGGATGGACTTTTGTCTTTTTTTCAGCCAGACTAACTATGTAACTATGTAATTACTCGCCGGTACCCGGTGATCGCCGAGTATCTCCGACAGGGGAGAGACCTGTGAATAAACAACACAGATCTCTCCCGTCAGCTCCTGCACACTGCTTTGTATGCAGAGCCATACAAAGCAGTGTGCTTACAGTGTAAAGCACACACACAGCATACTATGAAACAGCACACAGTTAACCCTTTGATCACCCCACATGTTAACCCCTTCCTGCCCAGTGCCATTAGTACAGTGTCAGTGCTTTTTATTAGCACTGATCACTGTATTAGTGTCACTGGGGATGTCAGTGACACCAAGTTAGTTCCCCCCCAGTGTCAGAATGCCCACCACAGTCCCACAGTCCCATTATAAGTCCCTGATCGCCGCCATCACTAGTAAAAAAAAAACAGTATATATACCGCCATTTGTAAACGCGATAACTTTCACGTAAACCAATTATTTACGCGTATTGGGATTTTTTTTTTAGCAAAGACATGTAGCAGAATACATTTTGGCCTAAATTTATAATGAAATTTGATTTTTAAAATTTTTTTTTTTTCAAAATTGTCAGGTTTTTTTGTTTATAGCACAAAAAACCGCACAGGCGATTAAATATCACCAAAGGAAAGCTCTATTTATGGGAAAAAAAAGAACTTAAATTTAATTTGGGTTCAGCGTTGCATGACTGCACAATTGTCAGTTAAAGTAACAAAGCGCCGTAACGCAAAAAATGGCCTGGTGAGGAAGGGGGGGTAAATCCTCTGGAGGGCAAGTGGTTAAATTTTAAAAAAAATCATATTTATTACAGTAATTTGAAAGAACATTTGTTGTTGTCCAAAGAATTTAGGAAATTAATCGTTGTATGGTTTAGGAGATATTGTCTATGATGAGGTTGAAGCCAGGGAATGTTTAAAGCATTTATCGGGGAGGTGGAGCAGGCCTCCAAACTTACCCAGAGGTAGACACAGCATGAAGGAGGGAGAGTTGTGTTATTTGGATGACTAATAGTAGCTACTTAGGTGTTGAATACTACCTAAGAGAATTGGGGAGAGAAATGATGGGATATACCAGAAACATTATTAGATCATTTTTGCAGAAAGCAGTGTTTAAGGTGGTAATCAGTAATGGCAATGTCCTGGCTGTTGGGTTCTCAGCTATAAGAATGCTAAAACAAACTTCAGGGGTGAGAAAAGGCACCCTTGACAAGTACTGTAAAGGATGGAGTTACATAGTTAATCTGGCTGAAAAAAGACAAAAGTCCATCCAGTTCAACCATTAAGAAAAAAAAAAAAATCCTATACCCACAGTCAGGGGCGGACTGACAACTTATGGGGCCCCCGGGCAATAGGGGATCATGGGGCCCCTGTGTCCTTGCCATACTCAAAGCACACCCAAAATAGCCTATAAAAAAGGTACCATGAAAGGGCATTTCATGGGGCTCCCTACTGACCCTGGGCAGTGCCCAATTGCTCGAATGCTCAGTCTGCCCCTGCCCACAGTTGAACATGGGGGAGAAGACGTCAGATTACTTGATAAAAGCCTGTGGTAGAGTTCCTAAACCCAGGTAAGGAAACAGATTTAAGAGCCCCAGTTTTGCAAAACGTAGAAGAAATAGTTCCATGATACCCAATCAAAGTATTTTCTGATATCTAATGAAAGTAACATTAAAGCTGTTTGTCTTGTGTAGCAATATGTTACATAAGCCTTTCAATATTGTCACCGGCTTACCAGCCCGGTACAAATCCCATCTGTTCTGTGGTGATATGTGCAGGTAGGTTTTTATCAAGTCTATTGGCTAAGACTTTCATAAAGTTGATTTTTATAATTTTACAGCTGCTGTTTATTTAGAAAGCTTTTTTATGGGAAATGGAGCAAAGGAGCTTACAGCAGCCTTTGTATATAGGATCTGTTAGATGGGACAGTAGAGGGAAAAGGAAGGGTCTCTTAAAAGCAGAACCACCCTGTAAAATATGCCAAGTATGCATTGCTTGTATGCTCACACTATTAGGGTATAAAACTAATTCCTTGGTATTTGGTTTTTCTAGCTAGCAAAGATATCTGATTAAAACCTGCCTGCCTCTCTCTTGTAGTCATAAAACCGGAGGTCTCAGTTAAAAACATATGTGTACATACTAGGAAGCCACATGTGCTATCAATTATTATTATCATACAGGATTTATATAGCGCCAACAGTTTGCTCAGCGCTTTACAATATAACGGGAGACAATACAACAACAATACAGTTCAATAGAAGAGGGTTAGGAGGGCCTGATCCTTGGAGCTTACAATCAATATGCCTTGGCTACGGTGGGCCTCTGCTTGTCTAAAGGAATCCCAATATATATAGGAATTATTATTCTGAGAGAACTTGGAGGTTACATCAGTCCTCTATACAGGTACAATGCCTCATAAGAGGACCTGTCTCCAGTATGATTATAAAACCACAACCAAAAAAGCTGATTCAAAGCCACATAAATAATATACCTGGGTCAGAGCCTGTGTTGTATATAGTTCAAGAAACTTACCCAAGGACAAAAAAACACTCATCTGTGGAACAATTGGACAATGGGTCATCTGAGTACCTTCTGAAGGTTGGACATTTGGTCCTAAGTCCACTGCTTTTAATCCTTCTGAGGAAGTCCTGAATGCTGGACGCAACACGTATAGGTGGAGCTGTTTGCCAATGACATCATCACACTTGGTATATTGGAGTTTGCAGTGAGCTGGACTACACAGGGTTTTGCTGTAGAGTATGCTGTTTTTTTAGAGCTATATTCTATTTTATCATGTGAGTGTATATACTGTATACCTTTGATAGCTTATTAAAGTATGGCAGTGAGCTCTTTCACTTTTATCTCTATGTGTATATGCTTGAGATGTGTGGAGGAGTGGTGGGTCTTTTATAGGAAGAGCGCTTATTTGACCTCTTATGAAATTTATGGGTCAAACTTGGACGTGAGCAGATTTATATGTCGCTGAGTGGAATGCTTTTCTTTCCCTGTAGATGTTCGTATTGGTTTCAGGACTGTTGCAAATCTCTTTCTATCCATTGGATTCTACTTCACTAAGGATTTACTCACTTCATACTGTTTACTTGGTAATGGAAATATTTTGGCACTTATGACAGGACTAGTGCGGCTCTACTTCTATCTGTAAGATCCTACTTCACCAAGGACTTTTTTTTTCTCTCCCTCACTGATTGGTATTGTGTATAATTCTGTGTTGGTTTGAAGATCACATGTTCATTGGTTAATATTTGAAATTTGTAAGCGAGTGTGATATTGGGTAGCACTGCACTATTTGACATTATCCTGCTTTTAATATTAATTTTGACTAGTTTTATGTGCTTTGCAATTTGTTAATTACCAGCAACTGGTGGAAAGGCTTTTTGGTGCTTACTTGGACAATGCATTATGGTCACTGGTAATTCTACTTATTTATAATGCAGATCTTTATGGAGGCATTCTAATCAATACCTTTTTTTTAACTATTGTTTTCATATGTCTAATAAAATCAACAATTGTGGTAAGGGTTGTTAGACTCCACTATAATTTTATCATAGAGCTGTCATAGTGAGCATGCAAGCCATTTAAATTTATTTGAAGAGGTTCTTAAATGACAAAGAAGTAACCACACTGAAGTGCAAGTGACCTGCACCCCATATATGAGTGATTATGATATGTATTTGGAGCAGTTGAGGTAAAAATGAGATATAATAATATCACCACATTGTTTGCAAGTCATATGGCCTCATTATGTCCAAAAGGTGAGTTGTAGCATCCCTGTATCACCTCCACTTGCGGGAAAAGTAAACCATTTTAGTATAAATTAATATGCGGTGCATAGTAGAAAGGTAATCATTGGAGTTTGTTATAGGCCTCCCAGTGTTAATGATGAGGTGGAGACTCAGCTCGTTTCACAGATCGAAAGGGCTGCAAGGGCTGGGACAGTGATAATAATGAGGGATTTTAACTACTCGGAAATTGACTGGAGTAATGGTACTGCAGGAACAGTTAAAGGGCAGAAATGTATAAACCTACTACAGGGCAATTTTATGGTACAGTTCATAGAGGCCCCAACTAGGAATGATGCTCTGCTGGACCTGGTAATTTCAAACCATACAGAGCTTATTACAAATGTCCATATAAAAGAACATCTGGGTAGCAGTGACCATAACATGATTTCATTTATTGTTAGCTGTAAACAGCAAACACATATGGGAAAAATAAAAATGCTCAATTTTAAGAGAGCTAATTTTCCAAGGCTGGGAGCTGCTCTCCAAGACTTAGAGTGAATATTGGTTTCGATCAATATAACACAGAAATGGGAGTTCTTCAAAAAGACTGTATGTGAACACTGCAAAATATATTCCCATGGGCAACACATTTAAAAGGCTAAAAATCAAACCTATGTGGCTTACGGCCAAAGTTAAAAAAGCTATAGATAATGAGAAAAGAGCTTTTATTAAATATAAAAATGAAGGAACGCTATCATTGTTTAAAAGTTACAAAGCATATAACAGAATATGTAAAAAGGAAATCAAGGCTGCAAAAAGTGAAAACAAACGACAGATTGCAAAAGATAGCAGGACCAACCCCCAAAAATTCTTCAAATATATTAATAGTAAAAAGTTCAGCTCCGAGCATGTAGGCCCTTTACAAAATAATCTAGAGTGGGTGAATGGTGACAACGAGAAGGCAAATTTATTAAATACCATCTTCAGCTCTGTGTATACAAAGGAGCATGGGGGAGCTCTTGTCCATAATGGGCATGGTATTGACACAGCACCAGATGATCCACATTGGCTCACAATTGATATGGTCCAGAAATATTTAGAAAGAATACAGGTGAATAAAGCACCTGGACCAGATGGCATACACCCACGGGTCCTTAAAGAATTGAGCTCTGTCATTTCAAAGCCATTGTTTTTAATTTTTAGGGACACTTTAATGACTGGCATAGTACCACTGGATTGGCGTAAGGCCAATGTGGTGCCAATATTTAATAAGGGGTCAAAATCTTTACCAAGTAATTATAGACCTGTTAGTTTAACTTCTATAGTTGGGAAGATACTGGAGAATTTATTAAAAGACCACATAGATGAATTCTTGATGTAAAAAAAATATTTTAAGCAACAGACAGCATGGATTCATGAAAGACAGAAGTGGTCAAACAAATCTGATTTCTTTTTATGAGGAGGTGAGCAAAACCTTGGACAGAGGGGTGGCTGTGGACGTGGTATACTCGGACAGAGGGGTGGTGGTGGAGGATGTGGTATACTTGGACAGAGGGGTGGTGGTGGAGGATGTGGTATACTTGGACAGAGGGGTGGTGGTGGAGGATGTGGTATACTTGGACAGAGGGGTGGCGGTGGATGTGATATACTTGGATTATGCAAAAGTGTTTGACACAGTTCCCCACACACGGCTAATGTGTAAGGTAAAGTCTACAGGCTTGGAAAAA